ACTTGCACTCGTCGTGCCTCAGGTCCGGCACCGACCTGTCCATCGGTATGTGATCGGAGGCCACGATATTCATGCCGTACTCGTTCTTCTTGGCGTTCACCTCATTCCAGTCGATGCCCTCCCCTTCGAGCAGATACTTGTGCCCATTATCTCCCGGTCGGGGCCCACCACCGCTCGGGTGGGCGTCCCCGCCCACCACCGCGTCCTCGAAGTTGCCTTCAATTGCAATAATCAATGGTAACATTAGATACACAATCACCACAACCGCCACTACGAGACACTATTACCGAGCATTTGATCCCTAAATTGTGGCAAATTATTGGACACTTCCTTCACATCAGGTCTGACCACTTGTTCGCCATCATTGGCGCCGACAGGGCTCTGACGCCAACTCTGAGCGGATCCGCGGCTGTCGCGAGTGTCCGCTGACGAGGAATGTATGTCATGTGATGGCAAGACACTGATTAGGACGACAATCACAACGACCACCAAAATGATGGCCAAAACCGGTGTCGATATCCTCCGGACGCCTAAGAGTCGGAGTCGACGTGGAAGCAGACGAAACACCATTGGGTATAGTCTTCGGCAGTTATCACACAATGGGTCCACACATGGAGTGTACACCACAGTCACTATTGCACACCACTATCACTGTCACCACTGATGTCTTCAGTTATCATGCAATCGGTGGTCACTCGGAGTCACAATTGAGTGAACGATCACTGAATGTATGAATCAATTGTTTGTAAAGTTTATACCATTTGTGACACAAATAATGTTTCACTCATTCATTCATAACAAACGTTAATGTTTTTGGCAATTATTTTGCCATTGGATGTGAGGGTAGAGAATATTCTGTGAGTTATATTAATACTGTATATGCATCAGGGTATATTTGTCTATATTAATTACTGCTAACGTCAATAGTAATGAATGATAATACAATATAACAAGTTTACGGTAATCCAATATATATATAGAATATGTCATATCAATTGACCATGTTAACAAAGTTATTAGATATCAATATTCTCATTGTATTAATACTTACAGTAATAATTCATAAGAGTGAATATAATGAAAATATTTGGAGAATATAAATTTGTCGGATATGTGCACGGTTATTATCAGAAAAATTAGCTGGATCAAAGTGCAATGCTGAAATAGTTACAAATATGTATGTTGTGAGTTTTTTGTTTTCATAATTTAAGAAATGTTTATAAACTTTAAGTTATTACTAATAATTATATAGTAGTAAAGTTATTGTATGCAAAATATTTCATTATTATTAACAACAGTATTGTCGCATACGGTGTATAACTTTTAAAACTTATTGTAAATATGTTTTAATGGACTCATTTGTCTCATAATTGATCTCCTTTTCAAGGAAATAGGTTCTCACTATTCCTTTGCCCTGTAATCATATGAATTCAATATATTTTATGACTATATTAATAAATCATGACTTAACATATATCATAAGTTGTAATGAGCTTAACAACCTTTATGTCGATATCCCCGCGGAGTTTAATTTCAAAAGTCCCGAAATTATCCAAAATTGCTTTCGTTTGACCGCTTATGTGAATCTTATTGGCTATAATTGGGATATAGATTAGTGTCACCTGTATAGCTAATTTAAATGTTTTGTTTTAAATTATTTAATTTAAGAAATTTCATTTAATCCACTGTAAGATAAATGATATCAATTTAAATATACTCACGCATTCCTCTCGACTCCATCCTAAACCATATAAATCAATGACTTTATTGCATAATACTGTCAATCAAATTCATATTTAATTACATACCTGGACGCTGTGTTCACTGTGTCGCCTGTAATTAACATTAAAAATATCAATATTTGTATTCATAAATATACAGAATCAAATTTTGGATATTACGATAAAAAGATTATTTTTTTAATTTTAGGCCCAGTTTTGTCTATTAAGTGTTTAATATGGAAAAATTAATTACCAAACAGGCAATACCGGGGCATTTTGACACCGATAACCCCGGCAGCACAGGGCCCCGAGTGGATCCCAATTCTTAACTGCACCCGTCTATTGACAATGTGTT